CTCAAAGCCAGCCCAGGCTCTGGTGGTCTAGGACGCAGGCCACTTTGGCTGATGCCCAAGAAATGTTGAGAGACTGGCCTTTCTCGAAAAGCGAGCCTCTCCGTGGGTTTGCTCTAGACTGCTTCTCTGAGTGAAATGCTCTTCCAGTGGAAATATCCATCCTTCTCATAAACTTTTCGAGCGGAACCCCAGGACACACTGCGTGCCTTTGCTGCTCACTCCTGGTGTAAAAACAGATTCCTGTCCAAATCAACAGCCTCGTTTGTGAAAGGTTTAAGTTTGTTGGCAAAGTTTTCGGTACTATCTCCATTTAGTGCTTTTGTGTGTAGGTGTGTGTGTGTGTGTCTGTCTGTCTGTCTCTACTTGGGGCTTGAACTCAGGGCCTCACACTCCTCCTTGCTTGGCTTTTGTTGCTCAAGGCTGCTACTCTCCCACTTGACTCACACGTCCACTTCCAGCTCTTTTGCTGGTTCACTGGAAAGAACAGTCACCGATTTCTCTGACCCGGCTGGCTTTGAACTGTGGTCCTCAGACCTCAGCCTCCGGAGTAACTAAGAAGGGAAGCCTGAGGCGCCCGCGTGTCTGCCGTTTCTTGCTGTAGTCTAGACTGGCCTGGTTGAGTTCAAGCGCTGCCTGCCTCCACCGGAGAGCATTGTCCTCCAGAAGGGAGCACCACACTCAGACAGACAGACAGACAGACAGACAGACAGCACGTGACACAACATGAGCGCCTAAGGCCCAACAAACAGAAGCAGCTTTTCAAATTAGACATTTCTCTTATTCCATTGGGCCCGCTTTAGCATCACGCCTGTCTGGAGGTGTTCAGATGTCACATGAGGTGGGAAAATGCCAAGAGAAAGATAAAAAGAGAGACCGGACAATCACACCGGCCGGGGCAAAGTATTACTGAGGCCCTCTCTCAATCCCAAGCAGGGAGTGGGTGTGTCCTTCCATAGTCCCAGCTATGCAGGTGGCAGAATTAGGATTTTTTTTAGGTCTAAGGCCAACCCAAGCATAAAGCGTGAAATCTCTGAAAGCAAACTCGAAGGGAAAGGACCGGGGTTTGCCTCAAAATGGTGGAGAGGCTCCGATTTCAACTCCAAGTAGCATCGGGGCAGAATGCAAGGATGTGATTCCTTTCACCGAAATAAACACCAGGAGTCAGGAAGTGGGGGACGGGACCCAGGGAAGGAGACGACAAGGAAGAAAGTGGGGAAGGGAGTAGAACCGTGAAGTTCAATGCATACCCTAAAAAAAATGAAGAAAATCAAGGGAGGGTGAGGCTGAGAGAATGAAGCGGGGGAGAATGTTGGATCGGTCACACTGACCAGCTTCATCGCATTCTTACACTACTTTATTGAATGGCAGCTCTTCTGTACAACTACTTAAAGACAAAAAGAGAATAAAAAGGGTGACTCGAAAAATGAACTAGAAAGCTCTATGATGCCAGAATGATTTTTATGCAGAAATAAGAAGCTTTACTGTGCCCAGAGAGTTTGTTAATGAACCTAAACACACACAGGGACAAATAATTCTTCATAAATAGTTGTGAATTAAAGAAAAGTGATCACCAGAACTAGACATTTATGAACAAAATATATCGAACACATGATACCTATGGGGGAAAAAACACAAGGGTACACTATTATCAGAAAATTAATGCATAGTCTCATTAGGTAGTATGTCTTTATTATAGAATAATGCTTCATTAAAAGTCTCATTAACTAGTGATAGCAACTTCGCAAAAGAAAAAGGAGAGGGAACTCCTTTAGGTTGTTGAGAAGATATTTGGGGTCTAAATCCATATGACAAAATGCATACTTACTAGTAAATTATTAAATGTTTTCAAGTTCAGGAAAGAACAATATTTCCATTTCTGAACAAGCCAACCATGTATTGTACAGCCGTAGAACACAGTTTTAAAATTTTTCAAAAGTACAAGGAGAAAAGATATAAAAGAGCCAAAATTTAGAAATAATTAGTGGCTGGAAACCAAAAAGAAAAACCTGGACACCAGTTTTTAAAATTATTTCTCTAGGTGTCAGCTATATTCTATATTATATATAATATTATATATACATACCAAAAACACTGGGTATCTATATTTCAGGACAAATGGGAGTCAAGGAAAGACATTTTTTAAAAAATACTATTTTGGGGACTCCTCTTTGGTCCCCCATCCAAGTAGAGAGTCTTTCTCTTCACTTTCACATAAATTTACTCTGATGCCCTTAAAACAATACTATTCTCAATATCCCCATGCAGACATGCCGAACCAACAAAGAGAAAAGTGCTAAACTATTGATATTGTCAGGGAACACATACTAATTAGACACGACATTCACAGAACTTAGATCCAATCAGAATTCCAACGGGTTCCCTGGTAAAACATTTAAATTCCACAGCGATGAGGGGCGAATGTGACAGAAACGCATTGCATCTGCAGAAAACAGGCCAAAAAAATTCAACATGAGGAAAGGGGGAAGGGGTTGGAATGTCACACATATACATTTGATCTAAGTACAGAGGATGCGCGGATATAAATGCCACAATAACCCCCATGTATAATTAACATATATAAATGCCACAATAACCCCCCATGTATAATTAACGTATATAAATGCCACAATAACCCCCCCGCCCCGTGTATAATGAATGTATGCTGAGAGACCCGAATGTCTGTGGAATATGAAGACTTCTGAGACATTCATAAAAGAAACAGGAAAACTTTGCCTAATGAAATGTTAAAAAAAAAAATTTAAACTCCAGACAGATAAGCTGTGCTGTTTACCCAGCTCAACTGCTTTTCCTGAAAAGTCTCCTGATTAGTCCGTTTCATTAGTCTAATGAAATAGAGTACAGAGCCCCAAACGAAAGCCCCAAGCGAATGGAAATAGCATTTCTAACAGTGAGGTATGGACTCTCCCCCATGATGAGGCTGAGACCCGGATGCTGTGCAGACCCCACCCCACCCCACCCTCACACGCAGCGCTGAACTGAAGGAGCCACAAAGCACCTGAGAACCTCAAACAACAGAGAAACTGGGCACAGGCGGCTCACGCGCACCAGCCTAGCCACGCAGGAGGCTGAGATCGGAGGATCCAGCCTCAAAGCCAGCTCAGGCAGGAAAGTCTGTGAGGTTCTTACCTCCAATTAACCACCAAAAGGCCAGAAATGGTGCTGCAGCTCAAAGTGGTAGAGCACTAGCCATGAGCAGAAAGGTCCAGCACCAGGGCCCTGAGTTCAAGTCCCACGACCAACAACCACAGCATTAAAAAAAAAGTGTAAGTTTAATTGCCCTTTGCATAAAGTTAAAAAGAAAGAAGCAATAGTGAACAATAGAATGTTCAAGGAGGCAAACGTGTAGTGATTTTATAAAGGAGAGAAAATAATTTTTACAAATCCCTACTTAGCTAGGGATATAGGGAGATAGATCACATTAGAAAGATGAGCTCAGATTAGAAAGATGTGCGTGTGTGTGTGTGTGTGTGTGTGTGTGTGTGTGTGTGTGTGTGTGTGTGTTTATAGGGCTTGAACTCAGGACCTGAGCTTAGCTTTCTTGCTCCTGGCTGGTGCTCTACTACTTGAGCCATACCTCTACTTCTGGGTTTTTGATGGTTCGTTGGAGATAAGAACCTCTCAGATTCCTCTGCTCTGGCTGATTCTGAACCGCCATCTCAGCCTCTGAAGTAGCTGGGATTACAGGCGTGAGCACCGGCACCCAATTTATTGCTTATCTTACATGCAATCAAGTGGGCTCATCTGTGAGTTTGCGCAGATAAGGAGAGAGCTGCATGAAGACAGCAAGTCGTGCTCTTCCTCTCATCTTCCTCTTGCCTGCCCAGCGTGCACCCCACTCCCGTGGCCCAGGCAGCCACGGCTCCCACGCAGACCTTTGGATAACTGCATGGTAGAATGAGGCTCGGGGCTGCTTTGAGCTGGCATTAATAACCAGAACAACACAGCTCCACCTAAGCCAGAACCGACCCGAACTCTGACCTTTACAGAGTGTCAATAGAAGGCTGGTGCTGGAGTATTTTGGACTTGGGGTTTTCAGATTAGGGATGTTCAACCAAAGTCTGTGCAAACTCCCCAAAGTTCACTGATTAAAATTCTGCCTCACGCCTGGCATCCTAGCTACTCAGGAGGCTGAGATCTGAGGGTCGCGGTTCAAAGCCAGCCCAGGGAAGAAAAGCGATGAGACTCTTATCTCCAATAACCGCAAGTGGCGCTGTGGCTCAAGTCATAGGGCGCTAGCCAAGCGCTGAGGGGCAGCGCCCAGGCCCAGAGTTAAAGCCCCATGACCCACAAAAAAATAGATCTGAATCAGAAACACTTCCAGTGCTCAGCATTTCGTGCAGGCAACAGTGTGTCGAGCGTCATGTCATGCTTTTGTAGAAGCTGCATTAGGGACCTGAGGCCCTGGGAGACTTTTGAAAAGGAAAGGAGAAAAGAAGAAAACCTTACCCACCCACACTCAGATAACGGGCGGCCCACGACTTCAGTCCAAGCACGCCGATTTGTGTTCACCCCTGTCCTTCCAGCCTGTGACCAATGTCCCCTCACCTCTACCTCCTTAGTCACTGGGACTGCAGGCGGGTGCCACCACACCTGGCTATAGACATCCTCTTAACCTCCATGGAACACAGAGCAAGTAGAACGAAACAGAAAAGGATATTCAGTAATTCCAGGAAGTTCAGCCTAGACTTAGGATTTCCATATTCTTAAAAAAAAAGTAAAATCGAATATGAGAAGAGTTTGATTATATTGATTAATAAAACTAAGATCAATAACCAACTGGGTGTAAAGTTAGGATCCCAAAATTACCTTCCTATCCTCTGTAACACGCGGTGAAGATAAGCCTTACATATTCTGTCCTAAACTTGGCCAGGCTTGGGAAAGAAAACCCTAAAAGTAACAATGAAGACATACTAAGCATGTGCAGTGCGGGCCTGGCCCTCCTCCCCAGCCAGCTCCTCACCTCCGCGTCTGTGTTGCAGGCTGGAGTCCCCCACCCGCTCTCTGGTGATGGAAGCCCCCAAGGGCGTGGAAATCAACGCAGAAGCCGGCAACTTGGAAGCCACCTGCAGGACGGAGCTAAGGCTGGAGTCCAAAGATGGAGAGGTGAGGAGTGGGAACCCGCCGGGCAGCCCAGGGGCCGGCCTTCCCAAAGCTCATTCACCCCTGAGACCCTGGTCCTTTGATGGACAGACTGCAGGACCAATCCGAAGGTTTTACTCCAGAACCGTTAGTTGAACAGCATGCTCATAAGCCAGACCCACAGGACATAAAAGTCAGGATGTGTCCTGTGCGAGGTGGCAGGCCAGGGACGTGTTCTCACAACTACAGAATTACACCGCAGTAAAAATGCAGGCTTCAAGTTCTTTCTCTCGTCACCTTAAAATAAGACTTAGCTGGCCGGCTTAATTAAGCTGTGTATCACACCCATCTGGCTAAAAATGATCCTAATCTCACGGTAGCTATTTATGTTGCATGCTTGTAATTTTTGTGTTGGAGAGAATAGTCAGGTTCAGCAGCTATCCCAAACCAGACCGAGCTAAAACCCACGAGGGCAAAACGAGGTAGCCAGAAACACGCTCTCCACCCCGCACTGCCCCTGCATGGGTGAACACACATGGTGCTTGTTTTTGTGCACACACACACACACACACACACGTGCACACACACACTAAAATAGCCAGTGCTTCCCCTGAACATCGTACAGTCCACGGTGTTTGAAGTCTGGAGGCACGAGCAACAACCAAATCTAATGGCACCTTCCAGAACTGCCAACTTTGTTTTTTTATAGTTGCACATTTCTCAATAATATTCTCCTGAGTATCACCGCCACAAGCTCAGAAAACAAAGGGAAAGAGACACTCACTGCCCACTTCTGACTTGGACAATGCTGCACATTGTACTGGTCTTCTGGGTTTGTTTTCTTGTTATTGTGTGTGTGTGTGTGTGTGTGTGTGTGTGTGTGTGTGTGTGTGTGTGTGTACTGTTATTTTTCGCATTGGGTCTCATTTTTCCTAGTATGGCCTTTGACTTCAATCCTCACTTCTACCTCATGAGTAGCTAGGACTGCAGGCATGAGCCACCATGCCCAGCTTGTGTGTGTGTGTGTGTGTGCGTGTGTGTGTGTGCGTGTGCATGTGTGTGTGTGCGTGTGTGCATGTGCGTGTGTGTGTGTGTGCGTGTGTGTGTGTGTGTGTGGAGAGGGAGAGAGCATCACTGTGCAGCTCAGGCTGGCCTCAAGCTCTTCATCCTCCTGTCTGGGCCTCCAGAGTAGCTGGGATCACAGCCCTGTCAGCCTTCTAGGGTTTTCCTGAAGATCCCTCTTGTGCATGGATCGGACATGTCCCAGAGTCCCAGAGTGTTGAATGGAGCATTTCCGCATGTGTCAGACACCACTTAAACCAGCCCATCCCGTGTCTACTCCAAAACGCCGGCGCCAGGCGATGAGGGACAGCGGCCTCCCAGGGCTGAAATGTTTGCCTTGTTCCTCCCCGGACACCCCTCCCTCCCCCATGCCCACGCCCAGGGGGAGAGCCAGCGCCCGCGGACCCCAGCCTCGAACTGACACGTCTCTCCCGTTCACTCTCTCCAGATTAAGTTAGATGCTGCGAAAATCAAACTACCTAGACTGCCCCGAGGATCGCACGCGCCCTCGGGGGCCCGGCACAAGGTCTTCGAGGTCTGCGTGTGCGCCAACGGGAGGCTGTTCCTGTCCCAGGCGGGGACGGGCTCCACCTGCCACATCCACACGGGCGTGTGCCTCTGAGGCTGGCCGGCCGGCGCGCTGGGCGCACGCCTCCTCTGGGGCTGCAGACACTGGCTGCCAGCTGCTTTTACTACAACACATAAAGCCTAACAAAGACCTTTGTGCGTGTGTGCGCATGTGTGTGTGTGCGCGTGCATGTGTGTGTGTAAGGGGGTGCGCGTCTGCCTGTGTGAGTGGATATAAATATATATAAATATATATAAATAAATATATATATCCTCTGTAAAAAAAAAATGAGGTTTCAGTACAAAAGGAGCCTGGGCGACCCTGAGAGACCCCCATCATGCCCCCCATCCCACCGCCACCACCTACATGGCATTCCTGTAGGTCCAGCTTTCCTTAGACTGTAGAGACTCACACAACCCACGCAGCCACCGGGCCCGGCCCGGCCGTCACCACGTGCATCATCCCAGGCCGCGATGGCCGGAAGCCGAGGGCCGAGATCCTGGCTGCAAAAGTAGACCTGCCATCCCAGCACCCCGGGAAGCCGAGGCAGGAGGTCTGGGGGTTCAAGGCCAGCCTGAGCTATACACCGAGACTCGGTCTCAAAAGACAAAAGAAAAAAAAATCCTATAAGAAAACAATGGTCATAATAAAGCAGACGCTTTGACGTCGTCTTTGATGACCCGGCCAGCTTCCCTGCGGCCCTTCCTCCCACAGCCAAAACAGAAGCGCCAGAGCAGCCTAAGATAACCCAGCGCCGGCCCTTCTGCAGAGAGGAAGCCTGCACTTCTGACTTCACCCAGCATGAGTTTAAAGTCTGCCAAAAATCCCCAAAGAATAGAACTCCTGACCCAAGAGAAGCCATCTTTAACATAGAAATCTAAGAATTTTTCCTATGTTTCTTGGGGTCATCAGGGAACTTTACAGATATACCTTATATATTCTTTTTTTTTCTTTTTTTTGGTCAGTTGTGGGGCTTGAACTCTGGGCCTGGGTGCTGTCCCTCAGCTCTTCAGCTCAAGGCGAGCGCTCTACCACTTGAGCCACAGCACCACTACCAGTTTTCTGGGGGTTCATTGGAGATAAGAGTCTCAAGGACTTTCCCACCCGGGCTGGCTTTGAACCATGATCCTCAGATCTCAGCCTCCTGAGTAGCTAGGATGACAGGCGTGAGCCACCGGTATCCAACTTGCATTTGTATTTTTAAGATACACAAACTCTTCTGGCTTTGATCTTTTTAGGTCTTTTTTTTTTTTAATGCCAAGATATTCAAGATATTGCTGACTTGACTATTCTGGGCTATTTTATTTCCCCCCTGAGCATCAGAGCTTTAAAGCGCCCCCCCCATGCCCACAGACTTGCTCACGCAAAGTTCATGTAAACTGAGTCACGCGTCTCGCTGAATCACTGTGTCCCCTGGGTGGCCAGCGGCGCCCAGTCTCCCCACCCCACTTCCCACCTTCAGCCACCTCCGCCCATCACCCCTCCTCCCTCCCACACTCCGGGTCGCCCCGGCCAGCCCTTGTGCCGGAACTGGGGATTGATTACACCATCTCTGTTCAAAGAGGGGAAACTATGCCTTAAGCCAATGCACTCAGCCAGGAGAAGCACATCCTAGTTACCCCGTTCCCTGTACTTTTCTTTTTGCGTGATTGGAGTGTGATGGGTTTTGTGGAAACCGGGCATCAAAAGCTGGCAGACCAAACGAACAGACAGACGGTCAGACGGTCAACAGATGTGGGCCCTGGGGGACCCCCCCCCGCAGTGGACACGTCCCAGCTGCAGCCCCGGTGGACAACGCACAAGCGCCAGCCCGCACCTTAACCAAGCTGTGTTCGCGAGGCCCGAAAGGCATTTGTTTTTGCTTTGGGTTTGTTGTTGTTGTTGCTGTTGTTGTTGTTGCTTTTTGGGTGGTTTTTTTTTTCCCCCTTTCTCTCCACAAGGTTCTAAGTCTTCTTCCCAAGTAGGGAAAAGTGTCATGGGAGATTGGCGGAGGGGGAGGTCGGGCTGAGATCTGCGGCATGCAATGTCCAGCGAGCCGTGTGTGTTACTCTAGAAGCAGGGTGGGGGAGGAGAGGGAGCTTGGGGGTAGCCCTACGCAGTGATTGCTGCCTTCTGGGGTCCCCAGCTTGTTCCCCTGGCTCTCCTTGAATAGCTCAGCCCATGCTGCTGACCCACCTTGGGGAAAAGACTTCTCAGTTGTTGGTTTTTTCTGTGAAGCAGGAAGGTGTGAAAAGCGATTATTACAGAAGAAGGCCTCGCTCCCAGTGCCGGGTGTCCCACACAGAGGCTTCGCTAAGCCAGGAAAAGTCCCCCTGTCACTCAGATTGAAATTAATCACAATTCATGACAGTAGCTAAAGGTCCCTGCTGGCATAGTGCTCTTAAGACAGGGGGGTTTTTAATCAAAGCAGATAAGCCATCTTTTGCTTTCCGCCACCTCGTGCACATCACGTGGATGATGAGAAAAGCAAAGAGTGCTCCGGACCTCGTTCTGCTGATTCGGCCCCAATCATGAGACCAGCGCCGGGGGAATTTTGCGCTAATTCTAATTTAACAGACCAACAAACTTAACAAACGAATACATGTTGCAGGTGATTGCCACATGCAAAATGTACTCCTAAGGGTAATCAGATCTCCAGTAGGATAAAAATAGTAACAGCAACCAAGAAAATATATATATGTATATATATGGTATATATATATATGGTATGTATGCATATATATATATATATATATATATATATATATATATGGCAAGGACCTTTGTGGACACATGATGTAAAATTCTGGGTGACAGTTATGCTCAATGGTCACAATATGTAGCAGGAAGCTAAGATGGTTGAGATTATGTATTTCGGTTCAGACTTGAGAGACCAGTAAATTGCATTTTTAAGTTCTTCAATGTATGTTCCTTACCCACCCACCCCCACGCTTTGCAACCTGAATTCTCATCCATGGTCAGGAAAGAGAGTTTTACCTGAATTCTGGAAGAAGAAAAGAAAGAAATAGCTTTTACATTAAAAATCTGCTAACTCCTAATTTTTAAAAACCAGATTGTTTCTAATCTTTTTACATAATATCTTGTAGACAATCCCGCCTCTGGCGTATTGAGCAGCTGGGGGTGGAGCGAAAGGTCGCGAGGAATCTTCACCGTCCTCAGAGCTCTACTTTGCTAATATTCTTTCAGAGACATTTTATACATTAAAAATGGATCTCCAACCATGTCGAGCGTTTATTTCCATTTGATATCTGCTCCGTTAAGTCATGAAAGTCTAAAGAAACTTCAACTTGAGCGTGACGAAGGTTCTAGAAATGCCCTGTGCTGCGTCTACCCTGGAAGAGCCCTGACGTGCCCCCTCCCATTGCTCTCCCCCCTCAGGGAGTTCTGGCTTCCCACTTCCTTTAGGGTGATCTTTTTCTGGATTGTTTTCATTCGATGTCTAGCAACCGTAGACCAAAGATTGCTTGCGGTTTAGACCCTAGAGCAAGGTTCAGCCAACTATGACCTGGAGACCAAATCTCACTCGCCACTTGGTGTTGTCTGTGAAGTTTTATTGTCACATGGCCACATTTTGTTGGCGGCAGATAGCACGCTTTATCTCTGGAACCTAGGAGCCGTGTCCAGAGACTGAAGGGCCCACAAAAGCGTAACTATGACCAGGTAGCCCTTCCCTGAGAAAGTTCCCTGACCCCTGACCCCGCCATCCTGTGTAGGCAATGTTGGACACAAGGAAGAACACAGATTTCCCGGTGGCCGCAGGGAATGAGCCTCTGCTTGGGTTAGAAATCCGTGGCTAAGTACATGGGAAGGAAGCTGTCTTGCAGGAGAAGGAAGGCCATCAGCCAAGGCGCGGGACCAGGAAGACGTAACTGGGAGACGTGGTGGAAGGGGAGGCGAATCCTCAGGGAGGGAGGGAGGGGGAGGGGAGAGGAGGATCCCCACTACTGAAAGTCCAAATCCCATGCCTGGAAACCTTCCCACACCCTCCCCACATTCCAGAAAGCTCTCCATGTCCTCCAACAACAGTTTTGACTTCATGAGATTTTGTTTTCTGTTTCTTTTTTTTTTTAATAGTCTGCAACTCTGACTGTTGACACCTCCCAGGTATAAATATTCCCACAGCCACAGCAGATCTTGAGAAACACGTCACCCCCACCCCCCGTGACCCACTGGCCATCTGAGGGAAAGCCACATCTGTAAACATGTAGGAAGCAAGGCGGGGGAAATGTACTACACGTACGTTCATAGAGGCGTTGCGAGAGTGGACAGATGTCTTAGCTTTGCGTTACAAGGCTCCTTGGTCTAGGGGGACTGAAGGGAGGGGGGCATGCTTGGTTGTAAATCTTTTTTTTTTTTTTTTTGGCCGGTTGTGGGGCCTGAGCTCTGGGCCTGGGCGCTGTCCCTCGGCTCTTCAGCTCAAGGCGAGCGCTCTACCACTTGAGCCACAGTGCCACTTCCAGTTTTATGATAATTAACTCAAGAGTCTCACAAACTTTCCTGCCTGAGCTGGCTTTGAACCTTGATCCTCAGCTCTCAGCCTCCTGAGTAGCTAGGATGACAGGCGTGAGCCACTGGCGCCCGGCTTGTAACATCTCTTGACTACTGTCAGGGGAGGAAGATTTTTCAGTCCATACTACTTCTTTAATGAGGGTTTCACACTCAGCCTTGTTAAAAAAATCGCTCATGAATGACCTCAGCCAGGAAGGCTTTGGGTGTGGCAGTGGGGGTTGGGTTTGGGTTGGTTTTGTTTCATAAAAATGACCACCGCTTCAGTCCCTGAACAGAGCCAAAGGGCAAGGAAGGAAGTTGGCCACAGAGGAGAACCGAACCCGAACCTGAACGCTTCCCCTCCCCTTCCCCTCCCCTCCCCTGGTCTCTGGCACAAGGGATGCATTCCTCTGTGGAAGCACTTGATCTGTTTTTTTAGGTGAAATCTCAGTTAAACTGGACCAGGTCTCCCTCCTCCTCCCCATCTCCCTCCTCCTTCCCCTGCCCCAGGACATCTCAGACACAGAGAAAAGAGCACAAGTGTGGGGATGGATGCAGGCGATGGT